GACCACAGTGACACTGACGGCAACCACGACGTCCGCGACGGTCAGCACGACTGAGACCACAGCAACGCAGACGAATACGGCAACGTCGGTAACTGCCACAAGCACGGTGACCACCACCACGGTGACCACAGTGACACTGACGGCAACCTCGACGTCCGCGACGGTCAGCACGACCGAGACCACAGCAACGCAGACGAATACGGCAACGTCGGTGACTGCCACAAGCACCGAGACCACCACCACGGTGACCACTGTGACGTTGACGGCAACCTCGACGTCTGCTACGGTCAGCACGACCGAGACCACAGCAACGCAGACGAGTACGGCAACGTCGGTGACTGCCACAAGCACCGAGACCACCACCACGGTGACCACAGTTACTCTGACAGCAACCTCGACGTCCAAGACGGTGACGGCAACGTCGGAGACCGTCACAAGCACCGAGACCACCACCACGGTGACCACAGTGACATTGACGGCAACCTCGACGTCTGCTACGGTCAGCACGACCGAGACCACAGCAACGCAGACGAATACGGCAACGTCGGTGACTGCCACAAGCACCGAGACCACCACCACGGTGACCACTGTGACATTGACGGCAACCTCGACGTCTGCGACGGTGACGGCAACGTCGGTGACCGTCACAAGCACCGAGACCACCACCACGGTGACCACAGCGACAGTGACGGCAACCTCGACGTCCGCGACGGTCAGCACGACCGAGACCACAGCGACGCAGACCAATACGGCAACGTCGGTGACTGCCACAAGCACGGTGACCACCACCACGGTGACCACAGTGACACTGACTGCAACCTTGACGTCCGCGACGGTCAGCGCGACCGAGACAACAGCAACGCAGACGAATACGGCAACATCAGTGACTGCTTCAAGCACCGAGACCATCACCACTGTGACCACGACCAGCTTTGCAAGTGCTGGGCAGTGCCGGTTCGCCTGCCAGTGGCTCGTTGAACGATGGCCATCAGTTGTTTGCAAGTGGCAGAGGTGCGGTGCCTGTGCCAGCTGTCCACCCCCCGAGCCGGAGGAGGAGTTGGAAAGCTGTAGCTCCACTTGCTCTAAGTACAAGAGAGGTGCGCAGCACACGTCTTCTGGGTTCCTCTGCGTGAAGGAGAAGCGCAAGGGAAACTGGTGCTACCCACCAAGCGGGGGCTTCACAAAGAGCTGCAGGAGCGGCTATACTCGCTGCAAGGTCGACGACAGGCGACTGCGCAACGAGGAGAGCGAGATCGAGGCTCCTGCCGTTCATGACAGCGCTGAGGCAGACGACGAGGTAGATGACGATGGCGAGTTGTTGTTTCTTGCTTGCACTTGCTATGAAGAGAGACTTTTCATACCATATGGTACCCATCGGAGTTTTGGGGTCTTGAGTCCTCCAGCTTCATCAAGGGTCTTGCTGGCCCAAGGGCGGGGTGAACAGGAACTGTGTTAGGGCACGTTGGGGCCAATCGAAAGGGGCTGCCACCGCCAAGCAACAAGCAACCAAGTTTCTTCCGCAAACAATCTCCCAAGACAACATAAACAACTTTATAACCAAGAGCCCCATCTTCCCGCTCCAAAAGCTCAACGCTGTAACGCCCCTTCTGAGTGTTGAGCTCAGCGGTTCCGAAGAGTCCTATGTCAGTAGCAAAACGTCACTACATTGGAGCTGTTCCGTCTCTGTAATGCTGCGTGACCGGGCTCACGGTCACGGCAGCGGCGAGGCAAGGTCGCCACTTTCAGGAGAAGTTAGCTCTTGGGAGTGTAGGGGAGAGGGGGGCAGCCGAAGGTGGGTGGGGGGGGAACGGAATGGGAACGGATAAGGGAGGCGGGAGGAAAGGGCAGGGAAGGGGGAGTAGGCCTCACATCGACAAGAGGGCTGCAGAAACATGTGTGGAAAGCACAAGGAAGGATTAGGAGGAGGGGGAGGGGCGGAGGGGGGGATACTGAAACCCCGAAACCCCCGAGACGACCACAAACCCTTTCAACCGTTTCGAACAAGCCCTACACCCCTGAAACCTCTGGACTCTATACCCTGAAAGCCCTAAAAACCCGAAACCCTCCAAAACCTCCTCACCAAGGTCTGCGCGGCATCTCCGCGGCCGTTTTGGCTAAGGTTTGCCAGTGAGGCGGGAGTGTGGCTTCAGGGTTTCAGGGTTCAGGGCTTTAGGGGCTTATGGGCTTCAGAGTGTGTTTGGTGTTGAGGGCTTTTTGGTGTGTTGTAGGGTTTTGGTTTTAGGGTCTGTCAGCAGCAAAAGGCCTCGGGGTGTTGAAATTCTGGGGGACTGATGGAGGGGTGGCTCATTTTTGGAGGGTTTCGTGGCAGGCTGCCCCAAAACCTTTTTGCACCCCGACTCCCTTCGAGTACCCAAAAGCCGAGTCCGGGTCAATGCGAGCAGGGGGGCAGGGACAGCATGGCCATGTGGAAAAGGAGCGTGGTTCATGGCCTTATGGGGTCTAGGGTTTAGGGTTTAGGGTTTATAGGGCCTTAGGCTTTCGGGCCCGTGTCTTCTTAACCGTACAGCTGACTTGGAGGATGGTGGGGGGGGGGGGGGGGGGGGGGGGGGGGGAGGGGGGGCAGGCTCTCTGACATGCCAGGATATGCTGGCATTCGGTGTGCTGGTGAACAGCCTCCGCCTCCACGAACAAAACGATCTTAACCACCCTAAACCCTAAACCCGCCACCGCCCTCATCCTCTAACCCACAACCTGCAGTCCTGGGGTTTAGGGTTTAGGGCAGCTCTCAGCCCCTCTTGCGCAGGATCCTCCTGCAGCAGCTCCTTGCTTGCAGCTTCGATGCTGGCACCCTCTGAGCTTAGCACCCTGTAGAGCCCAGCCTTTGAGCATCGGGGATCCTGTCGAAACCCGAACCCAAACCCGAATCCTGAACTTCGAAACCCGAGGCCTGCGAGGTATATCTTGAGGTCTCTTTATTTTGGGGCTCAGAGACTCAGGGCAACGGAGCAAACCATATCCTCAACGGGCATGGCAAAGGCTGAAGTGGAATGTAGTTGGGGGATTACGCAGCCTCGACCTAGCTGAAACAAAGGCCCGAAGAAAGTATCTTGGCCGGAGAAGCGAGAATGGGAGAAAGAGAGAGAGAGAGAGAGCTTGGGGGCTACGTCCAGAGGAAGGAGGATAAAATGAAGGTTGAAGGATAGAAAGCAAACAAAGAGATGGTGTTCCCTGCTGGGTGGAGAATATTGATGTGTATATATTATTATCAACACCGATGGATATATCTACGCTTCGCTTTCATGTGTATATATATATATATATATCACTATATGTTCATACCTAGACATGTATGTATATATATATATATATATACATATGTTTCTTTATTCAAATAGTTTTTGTTCATTTATTTCTACTTATATTTATTTAGTTACACACACATCTATATGCACACATATGCACACCCTATATATATATATATATATATGTGCATATGTATATCCATATCTATATGTATATATATATATATACACCAACATATATATATATATATGTAGACACAAGAACATACGAAAATATACATTTATGCATACACATACACATACACATACACATACGCATATACATATACATATACAGAACATATACATAGATCTTTACTGTTGTCATTTATGTTATTATTATCCGTATTCTTCTTATTATTATTAATATGTTTTTTAGTATTTTGTGTTCATTGCTTCTTTTCTTTTCTTGCTTTTATATTATGATATTTATATATATACACACATAATCGATATATATATATATATATAATGCATCTGTGCTTCTGTATGTCTTTGTCGACAGCTATAGATTTCACTTCCGTGGGCTTTCTCTTCAGGGCTTGGAGTTGGAGCCGTGAGTTGTTGGGACGACGCACGAGCACTGAGCACTGCAGCACTTCCCGAGGTTTGGCCAGGAGCACGCGGCTGAGAATTCCATTGTCCCTGTAGTCGATTTTGGCAGAGTTTTTCAGCTGGCAGGTGGGCTCCCGAGATCAGCTATTGAAAGACCAGTTGCTCAGAAGAAGTACACGTCAGGTAGAGCCTCCCTTCAGCAAGCCACTCTGAGTTTTAGTTATGATTGCCGTCGACGTTTCTGCCGGTAAAGCTGCCTTCCACCGGTGTTGGCAGAAGCTGGCAGGAATGTGGGATCACTGCACTTATTGTGCCGTGGCTTCGAACACAGTGTTCGGAAGCTCGTAGTCTGGAACTTCACGGCCAGGTGAGCACTGGAAGGTGGCAAGTGGAAGAAAATGTTTTTGTTTAATTAAGTCTTTTTTGCAAGGGATGTACATTGGAAGCGGCTATTGGATCAGCAGGTTTGTCTGCCGTTCCCTCCCTTCCATGCTCTGCCGACGCTGAAGTGCATTTTGGAGCGCCCGCACAAAGGAAACACTTGATGTGCGTGGCGCGGTGCACGGACCTCCCAGAGAGAGGAGGGCACGTGGTTCTGAATGTGGGCCTGTGAGGATGTCTCACGACTCCCGGGGCCGTTTTCCCTGAGCAAGAACTGCTCAGTTTATCTCAGTTTCGATGGTGTCGGTTTCAAGGACTGGCTAAGCTCTGGTCTGATGTAGGGGCGGCGAAGGCTTTGTCATGCGCTGCGAGAGGCCTGCGACCAACCTGGCAGTGAAGAGCCAGGGTGAAGAGAGACGGAAAGGTTTCAGAAACTTCCTGTCCTGCTGCAGCAGCCTTGAACCCGAATGACAGTTGCCCGAAAGCTCTGTACACCGCACAAGCTCCCTCTAAAGTGCCGCCAACTATCTATAGGAAGTGCCCGAGAACATATAATCCCTCTTTGGGATAGTTGGGGCGGTTGTTCATGGCCCACCGCGGCCTTTATATAGGCATCGGCAATATGGCAGTCCGTTGTATAGAGTATCGTTTCGATCATGGCTTCCATACAGTGGAACCCTTGGTTATTTTCAATTCTAGCTGGCTTAAAGAGGATCCCCATCCCCCCCCCCTCTCCCCTTCCCCCCCGCTGCTTATGTGCAGATACGGCCAGCCCGTCAGCCGCTCGACCGCCCGATCTTCAGGCCGGGTAGAAGGATATCAGAAACCCTAAACCATCCCTCGGCCTTGAGCAACCTCTAAGAGCCCTTAAAGAAGGATCTGCCCTACTACTACTACTACTACTACTACTATTACTACTACTACTACTACTACTACTACTACTACTACTACTACTACTACTACTACTACTACTACTACTACTACTACTACTACTACTACTACTACTACTCTTCTATAAGGGAAGCTCTTGAAGGCCCCGTAAACCCTGAACCCTAAACCCTGTACATCAGCCCTGAAGCCCCTCCCCTCATGATCGTGCTGCGGCTCACAGGTCCGGTTTCTTCGATGCCCAGGCCAGGTCCCACGTCCCATTCCAGGTTTAGGGTTTAGGGTTTAGGTTTGGGGTTTAGGGTTTAGGGTTTAGGTTTTAGGGTTTAGGGTTTAGGGTTTAGGGCTTAGGGTTGCGCATCACGTTTGCATACTCAACCCAAAAGCCCCTGATCTCCACTTGAATTAAAGAGCCCTAAGTCCTAAGCCCCGACAGTCCCCCCGAACCCCTAGACGGTCCCTTAAACCCTAAACGAGCTCGGGGTCATCCTATGCTTGGTTCAGGTTGAACTTACCTTAGAGGAAGAAAGGATAGGGGTACCCGATTCACAAAGGTAGCTTACTTCAAGCAACGGGGGGAGCTACGCCAGGAAATTGAAGCTCATTGCCCTTTTTTGAACGGTACGCATGTCCTTTTGAAGGTTATGCAAGTTACACTTAGGTGCCCTAAACCCGGATGGCCTTTGAAACCCTTCAAACCCTCGACCCTGTCGGCTGACGCAAACCACCAGAGTGCGCTGTCAGGGAAGCCTCACCAACCAGCTCCCCAAGCAAGGCAGGGGATTGTGGATCTAAAGTGGGCCATTTGGGGGTTTCCCAAATTAGGGGTACCTTGTTGGGTCCTTATTGCAAGGGAAGCCTATACTATTTGGGGACCTAAACCCTAAACCCTAAACCCATTTGGCTAAACTAAACCCTAAACCCATTTGGGTTTTCTAGAATTAGTGGATGCCGGGTTTCGGGCTTAGGGTGTGGTTTGCGTGATGGGAGGGGCCCTTGCCCCCCGGTGTGGGATTTCAGTGGCAAATTCAGGGTTATGGGTTTTGGGTTTTGGGTTTAGGGTTTAGGGTTTCGGGTCTACGGCTGTGGAAGTCTGCCCCAGCATGCAGCGACGTTTTGGCTTGGCTCCCTAAACCCTAAACCTGGCCCTGAACCCGAACCAACCTCCCCCCCAGGACCCCCCCAAAACCTTGGGGATGTTCCTCCCTACAATAACAGTCATGAAGAGGGATCATAGTACCACTTATTCTAATCCTATTAAGGAGTGTTGGTATAAGGGGGAACATCCCAATCTAAACCCTCCAAAACCGTCCAAAACCCGGGAAGCCCTAGGAGGAATCCCGATTAAGGAGCTGTCAGTGTAGGGGGGAACATCCCAATGTATGGTGTATTTAAGGGTTTTGTCCCCAAAAACCTCAACCCTGGTTACTAAACCCTAAACCCAAACCCCTAGGACCTTTTTGGACGACAGGTGTGTGCAGCCAGCTCCTACTCGCTGCAGCTTCCTCCCAAGGCCGCCCCGGCCCAGGCGCCCACTGCAAAGTTTCTGGTTTGGGGTTTCAGTAGGGTTTCGGGTTTAGGGTTTACAGCAGGCCAACAGCCCTGACCTGAAATTTCGACGTTGAGTCTGCAAGGTGCTTCACCCTGGCCTGCTGCAGCAGGCTTTTCCAGCCTCCGGCCACTGTAGCTGCGTGGCTGGAAAGTTTTTGGGGCTTACCCAATACCCCCCCCCCCCCCCCCCGCGCCCGACTTTGTTAGGAAGCCAACATGTCCTAAACCCTAAACCCTTGTAAACCCTAAACCGGCGGAGGGGGATTTGTATGCAAGAGGTTTAATCCAGGATTACTTTTGGCAAAATCTGTGTCAGCCACGCTAGAAGGATTCTGTGTAAAGGGCAAGCAGTTTGTATCTTCACATTTTGCTTGTATGCAGGGGTGATACTAGGAAACTAGGATGATATTGGAAATCATGTTGGCTCCTGTACAATTTCCAAATCGTCTGTAAACCGAACAGACGTTGCACATTTTACTTATTGCTCTTCTAGGAAAGCTGTTGTTTTCTCCAGTTTCGCCGTCCATGTCGGTTGTAGAAGGAGTTGTTCCAAGACCTCGCGTGACAAGGCTCGTCCATGCCACTCACTGCTTTTGCCTCCTCCTTGGCGGCATCGGTGATGGGCTCAGCGTACCAAACACTAAAGCTTTATCTGAGGGGTACCTGGGAATTTTTCTAGTTTAAGTGGGTATGATAAAGGAACTCCAAGTTCAGTATACTTATGAGTTCTTTCGATTGCTTCATGCTCAGCTTCCAGTCTGTGTTTGTTTGGGTGGCGGGGCTGCCTAGCGGCTTTTGGTAGGGGCTTAAAGTTCAACATTGAGGGTCTTCTTGGAGACCCCCGCGCATACACAAAATTCAGACGCAAGTTGCTTGAGCCACGAACCCTACATACTGTTGCCAGAAGTATCTTAGTCGCCGATAAGAGTCTTCAAAGGGGTTTCATGCACAAACGGCTTCCACGACATGTAGCCTAAAATGCAGGCTTCTCTTCGGGTGTTACGAACAAAACCGATCAACCCCATGAAAGATGAGAAACATCTTCAGAGCGAAGCCCAGAGTGTCATATGAGTCATATGGTCCCCGATGTCCCCTAGGCTCGCTGCGAAGCTCACATCGCAAGCTCTGGCCAATAGCGATCCTGAACCCTACTTGGAGGCTCATGGGCACTCACGGACATCTGGGGGGTCATACAAGGGGGGGGGGGGTGGGCACAGTTATAGCTAGCTGGCTATAGTTTTTTTTGGTGTTCCTACAACCCTACGTGTAACTACCGCCGAAGCGAAGCTAAGGACCAACCGTGGTGCCCACAGCCGAACATAAACGCAGGACGCAGCCCACTGCCCAGTTTGGAGGGAGATCGTCAGTTTCGGGGAGGATTTTGGGTATCGCGTAGAGCAGATGCTCTTCGAACCGAAGGACTTTCAGTGGCACCCTTCGCTTGTTGTTGCGGTTGTCCCTGTATGCCTCTTTACAAAACTGGACCGGGTTCCATTGTTTCGTACCTCAGTTACTTGAGGCTGCAGTCAGGAAGTCCCCCAGCATCCTCCCATCTGCCCATTCTCAACCCTGATATTTAAATAGCCCTCGTCTGCACTCTTAAGTCCTCACATGCCCGGAAGCCATGGACGCTGCACGCTGGGATCCTAAACACTCACCCAAGAGTTGCCAAGCTCTGCTTCGCTGAGGTCCGAGAAGCATCAGCCAAGCTCTGCTACACACATAACCTAAAACCCCTAAGCCCGAGGCCTTTCAACCCTATAGCTATATGTTAAAACCCAAAGTTCAGCTAAGGCGTTGCAGTACCTAGCACTACGCCAAGGGTCCCGCGCACAGATCGGCAGGGCTCAGGGCTTTGGATCAGGAATGCTGTCATAGTGGGTATCAGGAGTTTTCGGGTTTAGGGTTCCTGGTCGCTCAAGGGCTCGGGGCTCTGGTAAGCCCGAAACCTAAACCCTAGATTCATTCTGGGGCAAACGTCTCTCACTTCGAGAAGACATGACGCTTGCATGTAGCCTTGTGACCGGATAGGGAGCACAATCACATGTAGGACGTTTTGGGTTAAGGGATGAGGGTTGAGGGTTGGTTTAGGGTTTCAGAAGGGTTTCCTGGAATCTCCACCGTCAGTGGCAAAGTAGGCCACCTTGATTTTCAGCTTTCGAAGTCAAAGTGGCATCAGAACATGCGCCTGAGCTGCGTGATTTCAGACAGGCGGGTTATGCTGCATCCCAATGCCCTTACTTAACCCTGTAAACCCCACAAGTCCCGGACCCCAGAACCTAAAGTCCTGAGGTTCAGCCATGCTGGCCGCCGACACCGGCCACCCTGCCCACGCAGTACCGCCAGATTCCGCCGCCCAGACGCACGCCAGGGGCAGGGGGAATGCACGCAACGCGGGTTTTATCTTTGTACTTCTGCATGCTTATGAGCCGATATCATGCCAGCGTGGACCCCAAATAGTGAGAAGCCTGGGTCCTTGTAGAGCACCAGTCCGACTAAGACATGTTGTAAATTGTAAAGCAGGAGGATGGTTCAGTGGAACACTTCCCAGCCACAAGGCCTCGAAGCAACCTTTCACAACGTTCCCTATATGATCTGACAGGACAGAGTTATGGAAATTCAGGCAGCCATGGGATAAGCAAGAGGTTACGAGAAGGACGGCCGTCATGCTTACCACAGAGCTAGAGATTCATCCCATGTGTTTCAGGTCATAGTCAACGGCTCATGTCAATGTGTTTCTGCCACCCTCCTCTTACTGTATCTTTCAGCGTTTCTCGGTTCAGCAATGAAGGACCCTATAAACACATACTCCCTAGAGCTCCAAGCACTAAGACCCCAAACCCTGTACTTCGAAGTATCTCAACCTCTGGTTCAGGGCTTCAGGGCGTCAGGTTGCAGGTTTGGTCCCCGAACCTCTTACACGACAATCAGGATGCCGCCTGGCGGACAAACTGGACCTCAGCTGATTCAAGGCCCGCCTAGTTAAAGTGTGGGCTTAGGGTTGTTCCCCCCTTACTAGCAGTCCTTAATAGGGTTTGTACTGTAATCCCTGTTAAGGACTGCAAGAAAGGAGGAACATCCCAATGTCTAAACCCTAAACCCTAACCCGTTTAGGGTTGAGTCGGAGAGGGTGAGGGGTCCACGTGTAAGGCGGGGCCGGACCTGGGTGTGGCCATGGACCGTGCGTGGCACCGCATCCCTAAATCCTAAACCCTAAACCCTAAAGCCTAAATCCTAAACCCTAAAGCCTAAACCCTAAATCCTAAACCCTAAAGCCTAAACCCTAAATCCTAAACCCTAACCCTAAACACTTTTGCCCTCGATTCGGGCTGTGTGGTCCTCCCGGTCATCTTGCAGCTCTGGCCGCTGCAAAGCACTCAAAACCATCCAGAGCCCGTAGCCTCAGCTTCAAGTCTTGGAGCCCCTATATCCCACAACCATCAAAAGCCCCGCCTATGAATCCCAAACAGGCCCTGAACTTACTAAACCCTAAACCCTAAACCCTAAACCCTAGACCCTAAACCCTAAACCCTAAACCCTAAACCCTAAACCCTAAACCTAAACCCTAACCCTCAACCCTAAACCCTCAACCCTCAACCCTCAACCCTAAACCCTTATAAGCCCTAAACCCTAAACCCTAAACCCTAAACCCTAAACCCTAAACCCTAATCCCTAAACCCTAAACCCTAAACCCTAAACCCTAACCCTAAACCCTAAACCCTGTACAGCGAGCCAAGCAGCAAGGTGCTCGAGCCTGGCCCCAGTCAGCCGCCTCGCCGCTGCAGGCGGCGCGCGGGCCGACTTCAGCGGTGGCGGCCCAGCTGTCAACTCCTGTGTATGCAGTAGATGCTCAGTAGGGTTTGGGGTTGAGGGTTTAGGGCTAGGGTTGAGGGTTTAGAGACCAGGTATTATAGGGGTCGGAGTAATTACTAGTAGTATGCCCTTATGGTCCCTGAAACAAGATATGAATAGCAAGCCCCGAAACCCTATTGTTATTATTTAGGTGCCTATGTTATACCCCAAGGCGTCTTTGGATACATCAAAAGAGCTTAGAAGCTTCTTTGTGCCAAGCGCGGCCTCAGCAAGGTGAGCGTGTTGACCGTATCGGGATGTATCCGGGAATCAGTAGGGTTTAGGGTTATAGGGTTTAGGGGTTTAGGGGTTTAGGGGTTTTAGGGGTTTAGGGGTTTAGGGGTCTGTAGTTGGTAGTTCTTCTTGGTAGAATGCCGCAGCTGAGGCGATGCAGCCCCAACCTGCGTCGAAGTTTGCAGCCTCTGCAGCCCAAGCGGCCACGCCCAGCCCCTCGGCCCTGGCACCGACGGCGAACGCGCGTTCGCCGATGATGGCGCCCTTGGCAGCCCCGGCACCGGGCGCCCCAGCTTTTACACCCACTGGGGTCTCTGGAGGCTACCCATGGCGGACAATGCCTCAGCCCTATGTCTACCAGGCTGACATGTGGGACTTGATGATGGTTATGGGTCTATATACCTATGAGTCATAACTATATCTCTGAAAAATCACAGAGGCCTTAAAGGCAGATGGTGTGGCTGAACTTACCAATAGTCACGAAACACGTTGCTCAAGGCATGTTTCGCAAGCAGATCGATCTCCCAGCTATTTTCAAACTCCTGAACCACCATAGAGCCAGGGGGGGGAGGGGGAGGGGGGCTCCCGACTACCAGTACTTCATCATCTTCATAGTTTTCCCCTGGCTCCTCACAGGCCTATCCTCGGCCCTGTGCTGCTCCTGCAGCCTCGATGCCGCTCCAGCACCTGGGGTGGAGACACTATGACAGGTTTGAAGGCTGTAGGTTTACAAGGACATATAGGCTTTAACAAACTGGAGTTGTTGGCTTCGGGGTTCAGGCTTTTGGGCTTGGAGTCCGCTTTCCAGGTTTAGGGCTCCTTGTCGTTACAAATCCCTAGAGGTCGTAATCATAAGCCCTACTTGATGTTGTCGTGTCTCGGCATCAAATGTTGCTCAAGTCCCCGTCGCTTAAAACAGACATGGTTTTGGGAGTTCTCTAACACCCAAGGTTTTAGGTGGCCTCGAGATTCCCTATAGCTGGCAAACCAGAAGGCGAGCATCGATGCCGATGCCGCAGCCACACTCGCAAGCCTACAGGCCTGGGAGTCTTGAGAGATGGCGTTGTTGAGCCATTGGCGCTTGTCCCTATGATTGCTGTCATGACTAGCATGATTATTAGTGTCTACGTTATTGTCCAGTTATCAGTTTTGGTTTTCAGCTCGCAAATGTTAAATGGGTCGAGTGATGTGTGCATTTGTGTTCCTTCGCTTGATGGTCTTTCGCCTTAGCTTGTCGATGAAAAATATCAGGTTTGTGTGTGCGTGTGCGTGTGCGTGTGCGTGTGCGTGTGCGTGTGCGTGTGCGTGTGCGTGTGCGTGTGCGTGTGCGTGTGCGTGTGCGTGTGCGTGTGCGTGTGCGTGTGCGTGTGCGTGTGCGTGTGCGTGTGCGTGTGCGTGTGCGTGTGCGTGTGCGTGTGCGTGTGCGTGTGTGTGTGCGTGTGCGTGTGCGTGCGTGTGCGTGTGCGTGTGCGTGCGTGCGGCGTGCGTGCGTGCGTGCGTGTGTGCGTGCGTGCGTGCGTGCGTGCGTGCGTGCGTGCGTGCGTGCGTGCGTGCGTGCGTGCGTGCGTGCGTGCGTGCGTGCGTGCGTGCGTGCGTGCGTGCGTGCGTGCGTGCGTGCGTGCGTGCGTGCGTGCGTTCGTGCGTGCGTGCGTGCGTGCGTGCGTGCGTGCGTGCGTGCGTGCGTGCGTGCGTGCGTGCGTGCGTGCGTGCGTGCGTGCGTGCGTGCGTGCGTGCGTGCGTGCGTGCGTGCGTGCGTGCCTGCGTGCCTGCGTGCGTGCGTGCGTGCGTGCGTGCGTGCGTGCGTGCGTGCGTGCGTGCGTGCGTGCGTGCGTGCGTGCGTGCGTGCGTGCGTGCGTGCGTGCGTGCGTGCGTGCGTGCGTGCGTGCGTGCGTGCGTGCGTGCGTGCGTGCTTGCGTGCGTGCTTGCGTGCGTGCTTGCGTGCGTGCTTGCGTGCGTGCTTGCGTGCGTGCTTGCGTGCGTGCTTGCGTGCGTGATTGCGTGCGTGATTGCGTGCGTGATTGCGTGCGTGATTGCGTGCGTGATTGCGTGCGTGATTGCGTGCGTGATTGCGTGCGTGATTGCGTGCGTGAGTGCGTGCGTGCGTGCGTGCGTGCGTGCGTGCGTGCGTGCGTGCGTG